CCCAGAGCCGCAGGGAAGTGGATCACACTGGGGGAGTGCTGGGCATGGGGGTGACCACTGTTGCTGTGCCCCGAAGCCATGTCCTGGGGGACGGGGTCCCATGAGGGGTAAGGACAGGGCAGTGGCAGGAAGCAGTGGGGTTTGGGGGCTGGTAATGGACAGGCCCTCCCCACCCCGCTGATTGAGCAGTCACTGAAGCTGGGGATGGCCGTGGGCTGGGAGCTGGAGACCCTGCCTTAAATACTGTCTCAGTTCAGATTCACTGCACCTCTGCTTCCCCCTGGTCTGGTCCAGCAAGGGCTCCCGCTCTCCGGTTTCCAGCTCCCCTGGCCATCGCCTGTCTCGGGTGGAGACCCGTGTCTCTCTGCTGTTCCTAGCAGAGATGGGCTGCCCAGGCAGGCCTGCTGCTTTCTCTTCCGAGGTGGCCGGCAGTTTGGCCACCCACAGTAGAAGGGACCACACGGATTTTCTGAGCAAGCCTGGTTCATTCCGAGCATAACCGAGAAAACCTCTGAAAACCTATTCGGATGCTGTGAGTCTACCGGAGATCACCCCACCCCTAACATGGGCTCTGGCTGGAGCAGCCCTTCTGCACTCCACCCAAGGGGTTTCCTTGCAATTCCAAGTTCATCACAGCTTCAGCTCCGGCCAAGCATGCTCACAGTGTGGCCAGCCCACCCTTTCCTACAGCGCAGGGGTCTTTGATCTGGAGTTTGCAGGACCGGGTAGTTAATGGACAGTGGATTTTCCTTCCCCAGGCGCAGTTTCAACAAGGTGGATTTGACGTGGGTCACTCGCATCCCCCTGACTCCTGGCCTTTTGTAGGAAATCCACCTTGGATGAATTGTTCCAAAATCCCTTTGAAGCTCCTCAGACCGCCCAGAGAGCGCGGTCGGCTCCTAGAGAAGCTGCCGACAATTCCAGAATAACGCAGCTTTGCCTCTTTAGGGTGGTGGACTCCAAAGGGGATTAAACCTAATTCAGGACCCTGCTGGAAGTGGTCAGTCTGTGGCAAGCCCAGTCTTGGGTTCAGTGGAGGGACACAGGTGTGCAAGGCTGACAGAATGAACACTGCGAGGTTCAGGGGCATTGCCAGGCCCAGAGCCCAGCGCTCGCTCTCGCCTCTTTGTTTCGAAGTCTTTTCCCTGGAGTTAACTCTTGGTTCTCAGCTCCCAGCAGAACTGGTGCTTGGTTTTTCTAATATTTGAATGTGGGGCATGGCGGGAGGAGGAGTGAACCATTTCCAGGGGCAAACGCTCTGTGGCTGTAATGAACACTGTGCATGTGCAGTGTGTAACCCAGGCATCTGGACTAACCCACTAACATGTCGTCTCTCTCGTCCTTGGCTGGCCAAAGGACGCTATGTTTTGTGCTTCCTAGGCTGTGGTTTGGCAATCGTTGGGACTTACCTGCTGGTTACATTCGGACCCAATAGTCATGAGATGATGACAGGAGACAATATCACTAAGCATTTGGTCAGCTGGCCATTCCTTTTATATATGGTAAGGTGGCCTGTCAAATGTGGGATGGATCCATGCTCTCTGAAATGGACCCGGTTGGGGCTTTCACTTACAATGGGTGCCCATGGCTACTTGCTGTATTTTCGTAGACTCCAAGGTCGGAAGGCAGCATTGCAGTTCTCTAGTGCAGCGTTTCTCAGCGTGGTGCACGAAACCACTTTGAGAAACCTGCTAACTGGCCGCGCCGGTTTGTTGACTTACCGGCGCCGCAGCCACGGAGCCTCGTGGCTCCTATTGGCTCCGTTTCGCCGTTTGCAAGGACCCAGCAGCCCGGCCCCCGCCCCTTCCTGCCTCTCCTTTGTAAAGCTTTGAGATCTGCCGTTGAGAACTCAGGAGTTTTACCGTTGCCAGCATGAGTGTCAAAGCCACGTACACCACAAGAGAAAGGGTTCTCCGGCCCATCCCTCACTTATTTCTGCTTTTTCTCCTAGCTGCTGGAAATCATTCTCTTCTGCCTGCTGCTTTATTTTTACAAGAGGAAAAATGCAAATTACATAGTCGTTATTCTTCTGCTCGTAGCGTTGCTGGGTAAGTTCAAGTGCATGCTTAGAATAGTCTGCCTGGCGTATTCTACCACAAGGGTGAAGTGCCCCTGCGGTGTTACTGTGGCTGGTGACACCAAACCATTAACTCCAGAACTGCTGGTGAAAAGCAAATGAAGCCTGCATCTTGCTCTAGTAACTGGACAAGACCTGCTAGAGCGGGGTGGGCAAAAGGGCCTCTGGGGCCGGATCCGGCCCACCAAGCAAGTTGATCCGGCCCGCGGAGGCTCCCCCGCCCCCAGGCCAATTGGGGCCTGGGGGGGAAGCGTGCAAAGTCTCCTCCTGCCCTGCCCCCGCCCTGCAAGGAGTGCGCAGTGCTTAGAAGCACCATGTTCTCCTGGGGGCAGGAGGAGACTTCTCGTGCTCCCCTAGCCCCCAAGCCCTGATTGGCCTGGGGGGGAAGGGAATGCGCAAAGTCTCCTCCCGTCCTCCCGGTTGACTCTAAGGATGAGGCTCCCTTGCAGGGTGGGGGCAGGGAGTGAGACTCACGTGCTCCCCCTCCCCAGGCCCTGATTGCGCTGGGGGCAGCAGGGGGGGAGCACGTGAAGTCTCCTCCCAGTGCCAGGGGCACAGGCACCTAGAGGGAGCCGCCAGCTTGTGGTTCTGTCCGGGAGGGAGGGGGCAAAGACCCCCCACCCCCAGACCAATCAGGGTCAGTGGGTGGGGAAGCATGGAAGTGTCCTGGCCCCGCCCCTTCTGCTAGAGGCCCTGCCCTTTCTGGGGTGGCCTGGGGCCACTTCCAAAATTATTGCCCACCCCTGTCTTAGACCATCAGGACCACTCCCCACGGGTCAGGGATGTTCACGTGTGTAATTAATTAACGTGTCGCTGCCGAAAATGTTGGTGGTTGCATGTGCAGGAGGGGTGGGGGCAGAAAAGCCGGCTGCCTGCACGTACCGGGAGCCTGTGTGTAACCGTGAGGGTTGACTGATGAGGCTGCCGTGGCTGCACAGTCACATCCCTCGTCAGGAGCCCGTCCCCCAGAGAGAGGGAAGTCAGATTTTGCTGCTCATGGCAACGTGCTGGGAGCAGAACCCAGTGCAGTGTCTCATGACTTCAGCTGTGGCATAAGGGTGACTTTGTGGCCCAAACTACGTAAGTTACATCTTAGGGCCTCTGATTATAAGTGGCCTCTAAATACAAAAAACCATGATTGTTTTTAAGTTCCATCCTCGCCTACGTACTGGTGTCTGTGCAAATTGAAAACTTGATTGTTTCCATTTTCATTGTCTTTTCTGTTAGAGTAATACACATTTTTTTGGCTACAGAGTCTCTTAAACTTGACATGGCTCAGGGCCTCAAAATGTCATAATCCGGCCCTGCTTGTGGCTAAAATTTGTAGCTAGGGATATGGAGACCCAGAGAGTTCAAATGCCTTAGTCCAGGTCACACAGGGAGTCAGTATCAGAGCCAGAAAAATTCCCTGTCTGTAAAATGGGAGGCCTGGATGTTGGAGAAGCTGATGCTGGAGATGCGCGGCTGTGAGCTGCTAGAGGAGGATGGAAGACGGTTCCTGTGACTGTTGCATGAGCCATTATAGTTTTAGAGGAAAACCTGCGACACTTTCACGGCAGTTGTCTTGGAGCCTCAAGAAGCCAAACGTTCGGGACTAGGCGAGCCGATTCATGCGCAGCCTTGCAGAGGGGGAAAATCCTGACTCCATGGATGTAAATGGATTCTTGCCATTGACTTCCGTGAGGCCAGGATTTCACCCTTTGCATTTTCCTTCCTGTTGAGCTGTCGGCTTAAGAAACACCAAGTGACCCAAATAATAGAAAGACAGAGACGCAAACTGACGTGCTCGAGAATTTGGAGTTGAAGCTTCCACTTGGTTTGTAACTAGCTCTGTGATCCAGAGCTTTGAGAGCAGCATTCAGTGCGTGCAGTTCTCTCTGCAGCTTTACCGTACAGGTAGCAGCCAGCACTATGGTCTCCAGCTGAAGGAGCTGACAGGTACTGGATTGCTCTGGGACTCTAACCAGACAACCAGCCCTGGCTAGAGCGACCACCTTCCTTCTGAACTGCCTTGACTTGTGCTTGCAGAAATGGGGAAGACACTGGCTCTTCCCCATCTAATTCCTGAGTTTAGAAAGTTCCTCCATTTTAGAAACAAAGCAGCCAGCACTATGGTCTCCAGCTGAAGGAGCTGACAGGTACTGGATTGCTCTGGGACTCTAACCAGACAACCAGCCCTGGCTAGAGCGACCACCTTCCTTCTGAACTGCCTTGACTTGTGCTTGCAGAAATGGGGAAGACACTGGCTCTTCCCCATCTAATTCCTGAGTTTAGAAAGTTCCTCCATTTTAGAAACAAA